TTACAGTGCTTGTGGCTTGGCGACGGAGAACACAAAATTCAGGAGAATTGATCAGCCGCACATCTCTTACCTTTGCGGACAACTGTAGTGTACACTCGGAGATCCAGTCTCTCTTGTGGCGAAGAATCTCACCTAACTGCCCCAGCGCCTCTTCTCTGATGGACGTTTTCAGTGCGGACCACTGTGCGTTGACAGTTAAGTCGTCATAGAAAGTTTCGGCCATGTTGGCAGCGGCTGCGTGCAGCAGTGCCTGCCTTCTATCAGATCGTTCCAAGAGCGCGACGTTGAATTTGCCCCGGAGACGAGTCTTCCGGCGAGAAGTCAGGTGGATCTTGAAGCTGGCATGTACAAGGGTAGAACTGTTGGTAGCCGGTGACCGTTAGAACGGTTCATACACCTTCCGGATGGCTGTGCGCCAGTCCAGGATAGCAACGTGTCCGTGAGGTATGAGGGTCGGTAGCATTCCTCAGAGTTTGTCCTACTCGTAAGAGCAGGCAAGTAGCAACGGCCTTTTTTGTTGGCGGGCCACATTCGCACACGTCGCGATGCTGTCAGCAGACGCTTATGGCACTTGAACGGGATCTCGGTTGCCAACCAAAAACCCCACCACGTCCTCTGGTATCACCGCTGATCGTCCGCGACCGATTATTCAGTGAGGTAGCCCCACCTATTCACGGTTCTATCCGCGACCTGGAGACGCACTCGGCAGCACTCAGCTGTGCTATCCGTAGACAGCTCATTGACTACGGGCCTAGATAACAGTGTCTATCAACAGACTACTTGTCAGTCCTTCGCACAAGTAGGCTTTACCTTATTTCTCACCGGTATCATATACCGTGGAAAGCCTCTGAATGGTCGGGAGTGGGTGTCTTGGGTTGTGGTTGGTCACCCTTCCTTTGCACCCCACGAAATAACATTTTACGACCAAGCATCTCAACTAGCGTCTGCCGAGGAAGCCCCACTCACTACCTTCCCGTAGCGGATGTGCTTTGCCACCAAAGTGAGACAACGAAAGGCCAACAACCGAGGTTAAAACCGGATTTGTGAACCACTGGCAGTTCATCTAGGTTTAAAACCCTGATTCCAAACAACCAGGAAGAGGCTTATGAGCCACACACTCACATTTTCCTGGTTGTGGCAGTGATCACTGGCTCAATTGGGCATCGCGGTGTATTTAGCAACTTGGACCTTTGATCCGGCCTAAAGGGCGCACGATCTGGTGAACTTGACACTGGCCTCCAACGGATGGCAGTTTTCATACTGCCCTGTTGCATTGTGGGTCAGGCTTTGGTTAGTCGAAAGCTTTGGTTGTGTATTCCCAAGGGGATTCAGCTGTCTTGGTCTGGGCAACCTGTATTCCTCCAACAATCAAATAATTGAACCCTTTTCATGAAGATTATTGCACTGTGGTTTGTTTAGCACAGTCTGGACACAGACGTATGTGATATATATATATATACCGTGGAGAGATTAACATAATTTATTTCCGAAACAGTCATCGAATGACTTATCTGCATCTAATTGATTCCTCAGATGTTTACAATGAGTTACTATAAAATAGCAGTAGACTGATCTCAATGTTCATATCCTGGAACTGCTAAATAGTAATCTACGCCTCTTTTCGGATTAATAAGCTGCATTCCCCATCAACAATGTCTCATGACGTCGAATGTTTTACACATGTTTTCCCCTTTTCGCTAATCAAGCGGTGGAACACATGTCACCCTGTGGTAGGTTGATAACTTGGTTGTAAATAACCTCTCCGTCAATAATCGTGTGTAAAAAATGATTTACCCTTGCCAGGAACTGAAAGCTACACATTGACAGTTGAACACAGCTATGGTGGAGCGCACATTTTGCTCGATTTCTTTGCAATCTTAGTTCATTGAAATTCAGTTCCTCTTCCACTGTACTTTCACCTTTGCTCTCTCTCTCTCTCCTACTGCTTCATCCGAGTGGGTCACCCAAAGATAGCAATGCTAAACGGCGCACAAAAGTGCATATACACACATATATATATTGTTGAAATAATCCCACAGAGCACATTTCAAACAAAACAACAGA